TCAGAAGTAAATTGTGTGCTCGTAGATAAACGTTTTTGATAGAGAAGATTCTTTCTTAGCAATTTGTATCAAGTGTCTAGAAGCCTTAATTTATAAAGTACACTCAGGCACAATTGGCATATGCTCCTTATTCTACCGAATCGCACCTAGTTAATTCAAGATATCCATTCCACTGAAACACCAAAACGCAAGTGTGCAGCTAATGTTACTCTAGGTGTTGATTTGAGTAGATCATATTTTAACAGCATTACTGAAAATAAATCTGGGTGATCTTCACTCTCATATAAGGAACGCTACTTGTAAGACAGTGATCATACTGGAAGGACTGACAATATATTTCTGTAAGAGAATCGTTCTAAAAAATATTTCTTCTTGACTGACACTCAAATTATTCATTTTCAGAAGTGTATCGATTGGCTATCAAGGTGGCGAAATCCGGTTGCGGTATAACAACATCAATCAACCTTTTTGGGTTTATTAATAACTACAAATTATCATGAGCTACATTACACTGTGTCACAGATTTTCCCTTACACGAATGAAGGGTTCACATAAAATTCATGCATCGTCAGCGTCTGGTCTTGTCGGCTCACTCAATTTAGAGCGTCCTGACGACTACAGACAATGCCCTTTGACACTCAACCTTTTTTGAATGCATACGGTATCTCTACAGTGAAATTAATTCGAGCTCATGGCAGGAGTCACGATTGTTGAACATTACCGACATTCGAACACAAGAGGCGGTTTCTCTAACCCTTATACCACTTGCTGATATACAAACAATCATAACTCAACATACGAGATTCGTCACCGAACGTGGGTAATTGAGAGAAAATTGTACTAGTGGTGTAAAATTTATAGAAATGTCCTGAGGCAAATATTATTTTTAAAACTGGTTTTAATCCGACAAACATTTATTCGCCGTTTGTAAGCACTCGTAAATCGGAAGACGACTTCGAACCAGGCTAACTCAAACGGGATCAACCTAAATGATTGAATGAATGCTGCTACCTAAAGCTTTTATAAAATCGGACGAATATATGACGTTTACCATGCAATTACAACGAATATGTGTGGCAATATATGTCTTAGATTGATGATCTCCGTAACCTTAAAGGTAAAGACGCATCTGAATACGTACATTAGATGGCCGTAGTACCTTCTTTGTTGGTCGAGATCGCCGGCTTGAAGAGAGTGAAGAAATAAGATCAGGAAGTATTGAGGGCTTCCTTAAGAATAATAAACACAGAAAACACTAGTCACTTTCAATTGTCTTATTCTTTTTTTACAAAACGAAATAACCATTCACTGAATTTGAGGTTTTTCCTTGAGCTTGTTACATCTTAGGCTCATGTTTTTAATCCTGCGTTAGCTTCGCCATACCACCAAAAGTAGCCTGTTACATGCTGGTGCGCATTCTTACGTTATGACTAAATGGTTGATATTTAATAGAAATCTGCTAAAGAAAAAAGTGATGATAAATTTTCAGCGTTTTGACACAATGTTTGTTTATTGCATTGGATCGTTTATCAAACAAACATTTTGCCATTTGATTCCGCTTCTCTACTACTATTTAGACTCATTTCAGATACATCACACTTCACATCTTATTTTATATTCATCAGTGTATCTGTAGTCTTTTGACTTTACTTTGTTCTGGTGATGGCAACTACGTGACCTTAACCTAATCAATAAGTATACCCTTATTCCTTCTACTGTACTTATTTAAACATCTTTTAGGACAAATATCTATCCACAATGACGTTCGTCTCTTCTTGTATGTTCAGCAATATGTTCGTATCGTGCAAATATGGAGCTTCTACCTTAACCTGGACCATGCTGTTGGTATGAGCAATTACGAAGTTCATAATTTACATCAATCGCCTTTTCCCTGTTTGATTTATAATAACCACAAACTTATTATACAGTTTCATCACTCACATATATACAGTACTTAGCTGATATACCTCAATGAATATTTCGTTGTAAAATTTTCTTGATTTATTAATGTACTCTTTCTAACAATGCCACTGTGGTAGTATCTTATATGCAATCCTCTGTCTTGCATTGTTGGTTATGCCTATGAAAATGGTATGTGGCTGCTATCTCATGAATCAACTATTATTATGTTGTTATCTGTTTTCGAATTTCGTTGTTGTTCAAGCAACTGAATCAGCAGGAATGTTTCTGTTAAAATTTCATTCATTTTGTTGTTGTTGTTGTAGCCCAAGTGACTTTCCGTCTAACTAAAACTACGCTAACAACCGAAAAACAAAGTATAAACGTAACTGTCGACTTGAAGGTAGGTGTGACTCATCTTTGATACGGTTGTGAATATTATTTCATACTGATGAGTCCCATCAAAAGAAAACCAATATTCTTCTGTTTTTACTTACCAGAATCGTGATGTGCTTCTATCATCCTTCACAATCAAATAACCAGCAAATCAGAAAGGTAGCATTGCCTATTTATGATATATTAAGATCAAAGTTTGGCATTTTTAATCATAGTAAACTTGACAGTGACTTCAATTAGGAAAAAATTTGACCACTGAAACTTACTGACATCTTCTTGAATCACTACTGAGAGACGGCTGTTGTTGATAGGATACCTACGTTAATGGGATCATTTCACATCAACGAAACACAAGAGGAGTTTGTTTCATAAATACATTATTTTGGTACATTGGTTTTAGATTCATTTGAAATAACAAAATCAGTGATGAGTCTGTCTTATTATTGCAAAGGGGTTTGCTTTTCATGTTCCAGAAATTATTGAGCTGCTCAGTGGCTACGGAATGTCATGATATGATCCCTTAAGGGTCAGCGCTACGCCCTCTTCTCTTTTTAATTTATGTAAATGAAATGGGATGTGATTCGACTTCGATAACAATTTACTCTTAACATTTTGATGTGTAAGGTGTTTCGTTTGAGATATGTTGCAGACTGCACATACAAACAAGGTTATTCCTCTCTAGAGGTTACCTAGTTTGAAAAATATCTACTGGTCTCGGTGCTCTACGGTTAAATGTCTCATAATAACTGCGATGGAAATGTCTTTTGAACAAATCTTACACTGCAACTGTGAAGCGTATTTTGGCAGTAAGACTTTCCAATTAGTCGTTGAAATTTTTGTTTTGCTTCGTTTATAATACAGGAATGGCGCTTTTCCTCTTCCGCTCCACGGATATTTATACTTCTGTAAAGTGTGATCGATGAACGGACTCTCCAGTGATAACATGGAACTCTCACCACCACATTAACTTCGTTTGATCTTGCATGACTACACCTTGTTTATTCACCAATCACAATTTTATGTCCATCGAAAAATAATGTTCGCTTTGTTGACATACTTTTCCTATCCTGTAGTTAGTCTTGAGTATGTTATTTATGACTCTCTGTTTCCCTGTTTAGTAGACTTTTGCTTATTTTATATTACCAACGGTGTTGATTTGCGTTTTAGAAATAGATAAAGTTTATCAACCCAGATAGCTTACTTGTTCTAACTTTGGCTAAGCTAAGACTCTGTGCTCGACAGTCTAGAGAATAGTTTGGAATTACATTTGTAAGAAATTACTGATTACAAATTTTCGAACAGTAAATTCGATATACTTACTGAACTGACTTCCAATAAGTAGTACAGTTCTGATGAGATTTATGAGTTATTACCCCATCATCTGGGAGATTATGACGAAGACCAACTTGAAAATGATGAACCCAAAACCAGTGGCTTGATAGAACTTGAGTTAGCTAGGTTAGATATAACCCAGTTGAAGGAAGAAATCGAACTAGAAAAGTTACGTCGCCAGGGAAGTGAAGGTTTCGACCAATCAGTAAGCAACGGCGAGAATGCAATATTAGAAAAGCTGTAATCACCACAGAGAGAGATCTTGAAATTTGATGGTGCACCTTTACTTACTTTCGCCTGTTACTCATAATGGAGCATAAGCCGCCGACCAGCATTCTCCAGCCCATTAGAATTTTATAAAAAATTTGGAATAAAATGCATCCGGAGTGAGAATATTGGGTTTAGAGCTAGGTTGAATTACTTGATTCAATATTGTGACGTAGAGATCGAGAGCCACTATCCATCATTGTACTATGCTTGAACCGGAGTTAGGTCATCGTTATTCACTAAAGCACGCACGTTTATCGACAATTCGTTAAACTTTCCCGTTATAAGAAGGAATCAACCAGGTGGTTTGAGAAGATTGTCTCGAGAAATGCAAGTGGTCTGACTCTCTGACTTTCTTTCTTCCAGAACTATTGAAACTATGATTCTGAAATTACCAACGCATGTTCAACAAAAGAGGCTAAAGGTAGCTTATAAGATTATCAGAGGAGGTCGAGAACCTCTGTTTGCTGATATTACTGAGTTTGTAAGGGAATAGTAGCATTGGGGATACTGGTGATTTAAATGGAAAAATTGGTTCAGATTTTAATGCAGCGAAGATATTGTATGTGAGTACTAGTGATGACGATGTTTCCTTACGGAGTTCATCTTGTTTGGAGGGCTCAAGGAATTATTCTTTAGATCAGTGCCAGAAGTTTAAAGTTAGGAATGTTAGAGTAAGTAAGAAATCTGTTCTTAGGCACAAGCTACGTAATGTTTGTTTGAAGGTAAACCATGTATCAAAACTGTCGATCGTCAAGAGCGTGCACAGCTGAACGGTGTGGTTGGCGGCATCAGTCTAGAGGCAACATTCAAAAACTAGATGCACACAAAAGCCCACTTAACCGCAGGCACGCCTTCCATACTCTGCGAGTAGCCAAGCACTGGAACTATTTAGATCATTTGTATCAGATTATTTTTTATAGTCGAAAAAAACTAAGTTGCTAATTTGTCTAAGCATCCGATACCAACTCATTATGAAGGAAGAGGGTTGCTTTAAAACATATGTTCACTGATATTGACCTGAAACGGGACACCCATATCCCCTTTTTTCTGGCAAGCAGCCTTTCTGCCATCTGGTGTGTTTTAATGTTCATATGAGTGTGGAGGGCACTTTAAAGTGTTATGCGTGGTTTCGCGTTTGGGCTGACGGTATGTGGTTTTTTGTGTTCGGTTCACTGGTTAGTAAAGTGTACAGCATATCTGCTCATTGAACTATTAGTAATTCTAATAGCGACTCTTCCCGTGATTATTACGATACGTTTTTTCTCCATGTAAAGCTCATGTCTGTTCCTAAGCTGAAAATTTTGTTGGTAGTAGTCCACATACCAACAATACACTAAATTACTGTTACGAATCTCTAATCATATACAAAAATGACTGCATAGGTGTATCGCCTGTTTCTTCTGTATAACGGTTTGACTTTGGGAATAGTCCTAGCTATTTGTAGTAAGTCGGTGGTCTCATATCAGAGAAACCAAAGGAGCTAGAAGTTGAATTTGTAATATGATATAGGAGATTGCCCACGAAATAAAAAGTATTTGCTTCAATCATCAAGTTATAGGGAAAGCAAATAATAAAAAATTACTTCGAAATGAGAACTGTCGAGAATTCGGTATCAGTTCTTGGGCCGAAGCAAGAATATCACATGCAGTCAATTACAGACTGTGTGTATTCATCCGAACCTAGACCCACAGTTACATCTTTCTGCTCATTTTATCAACCTTGAATCTCTTCTGAATTCGAATTTAGTGAAAAAGATATTGGTGGACACAATAATGTGACGTGCCGAAAATCAAGAGATAAAGTGGCGAGACTCTAATTTAGCGACGAGCCAATCAGAAGCGTTTGAGCAATTTCAAGGTCACGGAGCCAAGTTCAACACGCGATGCTAACATACGGTCGGTTCACAGCGGATTTTAGAGAGGAGGTGATTAATGAAAGGTTAAAACAGACGGGATGGCGAAACTCTAATTTAGGGACGAGCCAATGAGAAGCGTTTGAGCAATTTCAATTATTAGCCAATCAGAAGACAGTATAAAGTGAAAATATATATTACAAGAAAGTAATGAATTACAGTGGATATTCTTCTTTTACATGATTTAAAAACTTGTTGAGGTTTGATAAAGGCTCAGAAGTTCTGAATTCATAATGCATATTGTATAGAGACTCGTCTATAGGGTTAGGGTTTGGGGTTAAAATTAGGGTTAGATTAGGGTTTAGGGCTAAGGTTAGGGTTTGGGGTTAGATTAAGGTTTAGGGTTAGGTTAAGGTTAGGGTTTAGGGCTAAGGTTAGGGTTTGGGGTTAGATTAGGGTTTAGGGTTAGGGTTAGATTAGGGTTTAGGGCTAAGGTTAGGGTTTGGGGTTAGATTAGGGTTTAGGGTTAGGGTTAGATTAGGGTTTAGGGCTAAGGTTAGGGTTTGGGGTTAGATTAGGGTTTAGGGTTAGGGTTAGATTAGGGTTTAGGGCTAAGGTTAGGGTTTGGGGTTAGATTAGGGTTAGGGTTAGATTAGGGTTTAGGGCTAAGGTTAGGGTTTGGGGTTAGATTAGTGTTAGGGTTAGATTAGGGTTTAGGGCTAAGGTTAGGGTTTGGGGTTAGATTAGGGTTTAGGGTTAGGGTTAGATTACGGTTTAGGGCTAAGGTTAGGGTTTGGGGTTAGATTAGGGTTTAGGGCTAAGGTTAGGGTTTGGGGTTAGATTAGGGTTAGGGTTATGGTTAGGGCCTGGTTAGGGTTAGATTAGGGTTTAAGGTTAGGTTAGGGTTTGGGTTAGATTAGGGTTTAGGGTTAGGTTAGGATGAGGGTGCTAACATGCGATCGGTTTACATCGGATTTTAGAGAAGAGGTGTCTGTTGACAGGCTACAACCCTAACCACTAACCCTATGGACGAGTTTCTATACAATATGCATTATGAATTCAGAGCCTCTGAACCTGTATCAAACCTTAACAAGTTTTTAAATCATGTAAAAGAAGAATATCCACTGTAATTCATTACTTACAATATATTCTCACTTTATACTAACTGTCTTCTGATTGGCTAATAATTGTCAAGGTCATTTAAGATTCGTTCAAAGGTCGTCGCTAAATTAGTCTCGCCGATAAAGTTTATTGCGTCCGTGTCATAGCACTAGTTCGCGCTCAATAGGATATACTCCAAAGGATATTGCCGCTTAGCAATAGTGCCTTCATGTTCTAATGGTTTGATCACTCCAGTTCTATCCCTTGGAGCTGATTCGTCATTTCACGTAATTGGTATCCATATCTGTTATTGGATATTAAATTAGATATTATTCTGATATCAGTTACTGACTGTTAAATGATAGTTGGTTAATGTTCGGGCGGTTTTTATACTTATAATGGGGATAGCTAGATGGTATTGACCAACTGCTGTCTTGAATAATAATTTTAAATGAACGTACAAGAAGTAAGCTTGTATATAGTACCTTAGAGTAGGAAGCCTCTACTCAGGATGTTTAATGATAAGAAGTAAATAGCTGAGAATAAATTGTCACTTTTGTCACGTATAATGCTTGATTTAGTATAAACCTCATAAATTTTAATTAAAACTTTTAAAAATAGAAAAGGCAAATAGCAATTGGAACACAATAAATCCCAGGAGAGCTGGAGCGTTAAATATGGGTGGAAAAAATCAGTACGAAGGTAAAGAGAACAATCACAATAAAACATCTGAACATATGACATCAAATAAAAAATTCATATTGAAAAATTCGCATTCGACTACTCTCAACAGAAAAAGTGAACCTACACCGCAGACGAATGAACATAATATCGACTTTAGTAACAACAAAGGAAATATACAACATAAAATAGCAAATTCATCACAACAAGTAAACAAACACAAAAACAGTCATACAGCCAGGACTGAAAAGTATACATCGTCGAATTCGGACTCTGATTCTAGTGATGACGAGCAGCCGGCGAGTAAGAAGCCTGCGTCGTCGAGTTCCGACTCGGATTCGAGTGATGAGGGTAATGCTGGATCAGCGAAGAAGCCTGTTGGTGTAGTTGTTAGTGGTGTTAAGACAGGGATGGGAGTTGTCCCACAAGGTGCTGCTGCTCAGTCTGTGCAGAAGAAGAAAGTTGCGGCCGCTCCGTCGAGCTCGGACTCTGATTCTAGTGATGACGAGCAGCCGGCGAGTAAGAGGCCTGCGTTGGTGAAGGCGTCTCCATCTGTGGGCAAGGCTGTTAGTGGTGTAGTTGCTGGTGGTAAGAAGGTGGTCGGGAAGCCTGCGTCGTCGAGTTCCGACTCGGATTCGAGTGATGAGGGTAATGCTGGATCAGCGAAGAAGCCTGTTGGTGTAGTTGTTAGTGGTGTTAAGACAGGGATGGGAGTTGTCCCACAAGGTGCTGCTGCTCAGTCTGTGCAGAAGAAGAAAGTTGCGGCCGCTCCGTCGAGCTCGGACTCTGATTCTAGTGATGACGAGCAGCCGGCGAGTAAGAAGCCTGCGTTGGTGAAGGCGTCTCCATCTGTGGGCAAGGCTGTTAGTGGTGTAGTTGCTGGTGGTAAGAAGGTGGTCGGGAAGCCTGCGTCGTCGAGTTCCGACTCGGATTCGAGTGATGAGGGTAATGCTGGATCAGCGAAGAAGCCTGTTGGTGTAGTTGTTAGTGGTGTTAAGACAGGGATGGGAGTTGTCCCACAAGGTGCTGCTGCTCAGTCTGTGCAGAAGAAGAAAGTTGCGGCCGCTCCGTCGAGCTCGGACTCTGATTCTAGTGATGACGAGCAGCCGGCGAGTAAGAAGCCTGCGTTGGTGAAGGCGTCTCCATCTGTGGGCAAGGCTGTTAGTGGTGTAGTTGCTGGTGGTAAGAAGGTGGTCGGGAAGCCTGCGTCGTCGAGTTCCGACTCGGATTCGAGTGATGAGGGTAATGCTGGATCAGCGAAGAAGCCTGTTGGTGTAGTTGTTAGTGGTGTTAAGACAGGGATGGGAGTTGTCCCACAAGGTGCTGCTGCTCAGTCTGTGCAGAAGAAGAAAGTTGCGGCCGCTCCGTCGAGCTCGGACTCTGATTCTAGTGATGACGAGCAGCCGGCGAGTAAGAAGCCTGCGTTGGTGAAGGCGTCTCCATCTGTGGGCAAGGCTGTTAGTGGTGTAGTTGCTGGTGGTAAGAAGGTGGTCGGGAAGCCTGCGTCGTCGAGTTCCGACTCGGATTCGAGTGATGAGGGTAATGCTGGATCAGCGAAGAAGCCTGTTGGTGTAGTTGTTAGTGGTGTTAAGACAGGGATGGGAGTTGTCCCACAAGGTGCTGCTGCTCAGTCTGTGCAGAAGAAGAAAGTTGCGGCCGCTCCGTCGAGCTCGGACTCTGATTCTAGTGATGACGAGCAGCCGGCGAGTAAGAAGCCTGCGTTGGTGAAGGCGTCTCCATCTGTGGGCAAGGCTGTTAGTGGTGTAGTTGCTGGTGGTAAGAAGGTGGTCGGGAAGCCTGCGTCGTCGAGTTCCGACTCGGATTCGAGTGATGAGGGTAATGCTGGATCAGCGAAGAAGCCTGTTGGTGTAGTTGTTAGTGGTGTTAAGACAGGGATGGGAGTTGTCCCACAAGGTGCTGCTGCTCAGTCTGTGCAGAAGAAGAAAGTTGCGGCCGCTCCGTCGAGCTCGGACTCTGATTCTAGTGATGACGAGCAGCCGGCGAGTAAGAAGCCTGCGTTGGTGAAGGCGTCTCCATCTGTGGGCAAGGCTGTTAGTGGTGTAGTTGCTGGTGGTAAGAAGGTGGTCGGGAAGCCTGCGTCGTCGAGTTCCGACTCGGATTCGAGTGATGAGGGTAATGCTGGATCAGCGAAGAAGCCTGTTGGTGTAGTTGTTAGTGGTGTTAAGACAGGGATGGGAGTTGTCCCACAAGGTGCTGCTGCTCAGTCTGTGCAGAAGAAGAAAGTTGCGGCCGCTCCGTCGAGCTCGGACTCTGATTCTAGTGATGACGAGCAGCCGGCGAGTAAGAAGCCTGCGTTGGTGAAGGCGTCTCCATCTGTGGGCAAGGCTGTTAGTGGTGTAGTTGCTGGTGGTAAGAAGGTGGTCGGGAAGCCTGCGTCGTCGAGTTCCGACTCGGATTCGAGTGATGAGGGTAATGCTGGATCAGCGAAGAAGCCTGTTGGTGTAGTTGTTAGTGGTGTTAAGACAGGGATGGGAGTTGTCCCACAAGGTGCTGCTGCTCAGTCTGTGCAGAAGAAGAAAGTTGCGGCCGCTCCGTCGAGCTCGGACTCTGATTCTAGTGATGACGAGCAGCCGGCGAGTAAGAAGCCTGCGTTGGTGAAGGCGTCTCCATCTGTGGGCAAGGCTGTTAGTGGTGTAGTTGCTGGTGGTAAGAAGGTGGTCGGGAAGCCTGCGTCGTCGAGTTCCGACTCGGATTCGAGTGATGAGGGTAATGCTGGATCAGCGAAGAAGCCTGTTGGTGTAGTTGTTAGTGGTGTTAAGACAGGGATGGGAGTTGTCCCACAAGGTGCTGCTGCTCAGTCTGTGCAGAAGAAGAAAGTTGCGGCCGCTCCGTCGAGCTCGGACTCTGATTCTAGTGATGACGAGCAGCCGGCGAGTAAGAAGCCTGCGTTGGTGAAGGCGTCTCCATCTGTGGGCAAGGCTGTTAGTGGTGTAGTTGCTGGTGGTAAGAAGGTGGTCGGGAAGCCTGCGTCGTCGAGTTCCGACTCGGATTCGAGTGATGAGGGTAATGCTGGATCAGCGAAGAAGCCTGTTGGTGTAGTTGTTAGTGGTGTTAAGACAGGGATGGGAGTTGTCCCACAAGGTGCTGCTGCTCAGTCTGTGCAGAAGAAGAAAGTTGCGGCCGCTCCGTCGAGCTCGGACTCTGATTCTAGTGATGACGAGCAGCCGGCGAGTAAGAAGCCTGCGTTGGTGAAGGCGTCTCCATCTGTGGGCAAGGCTGTTAGTGGTGTAGTTGCTGGTGGTAAGAAGGTGGTCGGGAAGCCTGCGTCGTCGAGTTCCGACTCGGATTCGAGTGATGAGGGTAATGCTGGATCAGCGAAGAAGCCTGTTGGTGTAGTTGTTAGTGGTGTTAAGACAGGGATGGGAGTTGTCCCACAAGGTGCTGCTGCTCAGTCTGTGCAGAAGAAGAAAGTTGCGGCCGCTCCGTCGAGCTCGGACTCTGATTCTAGTGATGACGAGCAGCCGGCGAGTAAGAAGCCTGCGTTGGTGAAGGCGTCTCCATCTGTGGGCAAGGCTGTTAGTGGTGTAGTTGCTGGTGGTAAGAAGGTGGTCGGGAAGCCTGCGTCGTCGAGTTCCGACTCGGATTCGAGTGATGAGGGTAATGCTGGATCAGCGAAGAAGCCTGTTGGTGTAGTTGTTAGTGGTGTTAAGACAGGGATGGGAGTTGTCCCACAAGGTGCTGCTGCTCAGTCTGTGCAGAAGAAGAAAGTTGCGGCCGCTCCGTCGAGCTCGGACTCTGATTCTAGTGATGACGAGCAGCCGGCGAGTAAGAAGCCTGCGTTGGTGAAGGCGTCTCCATCTGCGGGCAAGGCTGTTAGTGGTGTAGTTGCTGGTGGTAAGAAGGTGGTCGGGAAGCCTGCGTCGTCGAGTTCCGACTCGGATTCGAGTGATGAGGGTAATGCTGGATCAGCGAAGAAGCCTGTTGGTGTAGTTGTTAGTGGTGTTAAGACAGGGATGGGAGTTGTCCCACAAGGTGCTGCTGCTCAGTCTGTGCAGAAGAAGAAAGTTGCGGCCGCTCCGTCGAGCTCGGACTCTGATTCTAGTGATGACGAGCAGCCGGCGAGTAAGAAGCCTGCGTTGGTGAAGGCGTCTCCATCTGTGGGCAAGGCTGTTAGTGGTGTAGTTGCTGGTGGTAAGAAGGTGGTCGGGAAGCCTGCGTCGTCGAGTTCCGACTCGGATTCGAGTGATGAGGGTAATGCTGGATCAGCGAAGAAGCCTGTTGGTGTAGTTGTTAGTGGTGTTAAGACAGGGATGGGAGTTGTCCCACAAGGTGCTGCTGCTCAGTCTGTGCAGAAGAAGAAAGTTGCGGCCGCTCCGTCGAGCTCGGACTCTGATTCTAGTGATGACGAGCAGCCGGCGAGTAAGAAGCCTGCGTTGGTGAAGGCGTCTCCATCTGTGGGCAAGGCTGTTAGTGGTGTAGTTGCTGGTGGTAAGAAGGTGGTCGGGAAGCCTGCGTCGTCGAGTTCCGACTCGGATTCGAGTGATGAGGGTAATGCTGGATCAGCGAAGAAGCCTGTTGGTGTAGTTGTTAGTGGTGTTAAGACAGGGATGGGAGTTGTCCCACAAGGTGCTGCTGCTCAGTCTGTGCAGAAGAAGAAAGTTGCGGCCGCTCCGTCGAGCTCGGACTCTGATTCTAGTGATGACGAGCAGCCGGCGAGTAAGAAGCCTGCGTTGGTGAAGGCGTCTCCATCTGTGGGCAAGGCTGTTAGTGGTGTAGTTGCTGGTGGTAAGAAGGTGGTCGGGAAGCCTGCGTCGTCGAGTTCCGACTCGGATTCGAGTGATGAGGGTAATGCTGGATCAGCGAAGAAGCCTGTTGGTGTAGTTGTTAGTGGTGTTAAGACAGGGATGGGAGTTGTCCCACAAGGTGCTGCTGCTCAGTCTGTGCAGAAGAAGAAAGTTGCGGCCGCTCCGTCGAGCTCGGACTCTGATTCTAGTGATGACGAGCAGCCGGCGAGTAAGAAGCCTGCGTTGGTGAAGGCGTCTCCATCTGTGGGCAAGGCTGTTAGTGGTGTAGTTGCTGGTGGTAAGAAGGTGGTCGGGAAGCCTGCGTCGTCGAGTTCCGACTCGGATTCGAGTGATGAGGGTAATGCTGGATCAGCGAAGAAGCCTGTTGGTGTAGTTGTTAGTGGTGTTAAGACAGGGATGGGAGTTGTCCCACAAGGTGCTGCTGCTCAGTCTGTGCAGAAGAAGAAAGTTGCGGCCGCTCCGTCGAGCTCGGACTCTGATTCTAGTGATGACGAGCAGCCGGCGAGTAAGAAGCCTGCGTTGGTGAAGGCGTCTCCATCTGTGGGCAAGGCTGTTAGTGGTGTAGTTGCTGGTGGTAAGAAGGTGGTCGGGAAGCCTGCGTCGTCGAGTTCCGACTCGGATTCGAGTGATGAGGGTAATGCTGGATCAGCGAAGAAGCCTGTTGGTGTAGTTGTTAGTGGTGTTAAGACAGGGATGGGAGTTGTCCCACAAGGTGCTGCTGCTCAGTCTGTGCAGAAGAAGAAAGTTGCGGCCGCTCCGTCGAGCTCGGACTCTGATTCTAGTGATGACGAGCAGCCGGCGAGTAAGAAGCCTGCGTTGGTGAAGGCGTCTCCATCTGTGGGCAAGGCTGTTAGTGGTGTAGTTGCTGGTGGTAAGAAGGTGGTCGGGAAGCCTGCGTCGTCGAGTTCCGACTCGGATTCGAGTGATGAGGGTAATGCTGGATCAGCGAAGAAGCCTGTTGGTGTAGTTGTTAGTGGTGTTAAGACAGGGATGGGAGTTGTCCCACAAGGTGCTGCTGCTCAGTCTGTGCAGAAGAAGAAAGTTGCGGCCGCTCCGTCGAGCTCGGACTCTGATTCTAGTGATGACGAGCAGCCGGCGAGTAAGAAGCCTGCGTTGGTGAAGGCGTCTCCATCTGTGGGCAAGGCTGTTAGTGGTGTAGTTGCTGGTGGTAAGAAGGTGGTCGGGAAGCCTGCGTCGTCGAGTTCCGACTCGGATTCGAGTGATGAGGGTAATGCTGGATCAGCGAAGAAGCCTGTTGGTGTAGTTGTTAGTGGTGTTAAGACAGGGATGGGAGTTGTCCCACAAGGTGCTGCTGCTCAGTCTGTGCAGAAGAAGAAAGTTGCGGCCGCTCCGTCGAGCTCGGACTCTGATTCTAGTGATGACGAGCAGCCGGCGAGTAAGAAGCCTGCGTTGGTGAAGGCGTCTCCATCTGTGGGCAAGGCTGTTAGTGGTGTAGTTGCTGGTGGTAAGAAGGTGGTCGGGAAGCCTGCGTCGTCGAGTTCCGACTCGGATTCGAGTGATGAGGGTAATGCTGGATCAGCGAAGAAGCCTGTTGGTGTAGTTGTTAGTGGTGTTAAGACAGGGATGGGAGTTGTCCCACAAGGTGCTGCTGCTCAGTCTGTGCAGAAGAAGAAAGTTGCGGCCGCTCCGTCGAGCTCGGACTCTGATTCTAGTGATGACGAGCAGCCGGCGAGTAAGAAGCCTGCGTTGGTGAAGGCGTCTCCATCTGTGGGCAAGGCTGTTAGTGGTGTAGTTGCTGGTGGTAAGAAGGTGGTCGGGAAGCCTGCGTCGTCGAGTTCCGACTCGGATTCGAGTGATGAGGGTAATGCTGGATCAGCGAAGAAGCCTGTTGGTGTAGTTGTTAGTGGTGTTAAGACAGGGATGGGAGTTGTCCCACAAGGTGCTGCTGCTCAGTCTGTGCAGAAGAAGAAAGTTGCGGCCGCTCCGTCGAGCTCGGACTCTGATTCTAGTGATGACGAGCAGCCGGCGAGTAAGAAGCCTGCGTTGGTGAAGGCGTCTCCATCTGTGGGCAAGGCTGTTAGTGGTGTAGTTGCTGGTGGTAAGAAGGTGGTCGGGAAGCCTGCGTCGTCGAGTTCCGACTCGGATTCGAGTGATGAGGGTAATGCTGGATCAGCGAAGAAGCCTGTTGGTGTAGTTGTTAGTGGTGTTAAGACAGGGATGGGAGTTGTCCCACAAGGTGCTGCTGCTCAGTCTGTGCAGAAGAAGAAAGTTGCGGCCGCTCCGTCGAGCTCGGACTCTGATTCTAGTGATGACGAGCAGCCGGCGAGTAAGAAGCCTGCGTTGGTGAAGGCGTCTCCATCTGTGGGCAAGGCTGTTAGTGGTGTAGTTGCTGGTGGTAAGAAGGTGGTCGGGAAGCCTGCGTCGTCGAGTTCCGACTCGGATTCGAGTGATGAGGGTAATGCTGGATCAGCGAAGAAGCCTGTTGGTGTAGTTGTTAGTGGTGTTAAGACAGGGATGGGAGTTGTCCCACAAGGTGCTGCTGCTCAGTCTGTGCAGAAGAAGAAAGTTGCGGCCGCTCCGTCGAGCTCGGACTCTGATTCTAGTGATGACGAGCAGCCGGCGAGTAAGAAGCCTGCGTTGGTGAAGGCGTCTCCATCTGTGGGCAAGGCTGTTAGTGGTGTAGTTGCTGGTGGTAAGAAGGTGGTCGGGAAGCCTGCGTCGTCGAGTTCCGACTCGGATTCGAGTGATGAGGGTAATGCTGGATCAGCGAAGAAGCCTGTTGGTGTAGTTGTTAGTGGTGTTAAGACAGGGATGGGAGTTGTCCCACAAGGTGCTGCTGCTCAGTCTGTGCAGAAGAAGAAAGTTGCGGCCGCTCCGTCGAGCTCGGACTCTGATTCTAGTGATGACGAGCAGCCGGCGAGTAAGAAGCCTGCGTTGGTGAAGGCGTCTCCATCTGTGGGCAAGGCTGTTAGTGGTGTAGTTGCTGGTGGTAAGAAGGTGGTCGGGAAGCCTGCGTCGTCGAGTTCCGACTCGGATTCGAGTGATGAGGGTAATGCTGGATCAGCGAAGAAGCCTGTTGGTGTAGTTGTTAGTGGTGTTAAGACAGGGATGGGAGTTGTCCCACAAGGTGCTGCTGCTCAGTCTGTGCAGAAGAAGAAAGTTGCGGCCGCTCCGTCGAGCTCGGACTCTGATTCTAGTGATGACGAGCAGCCGGCGAGTAAGAAGCCTGCGTTGGTGAAGGCGTCTCCATCTGTGGGCAAGGCTGTTAGTGGTGTAGTTGCTGGTGGTAAGAAGGTGGTCGGGAAGCCTGCGTCGTCGAGTTCCGACTCGGATTCGAGTGATGAGGGTAATGCTGGATCAGCGAAGAAGCCTGTTGGTGTAGTTGTTAGTGGTGTTAAGACAGGGATGGGAGTTGTCCCACAAGGTGCTGCTGCTCAGTCTGTGCAGAAGAAGAAAGTTGCGGCCGCTCCGTCGAGCTCGGACTCTGATTCTAGTGATGACGAGCAGCCGGCGAGTAAGAAGCCTGCGTTGGTGAAGGCGTCTCCATCTGTGGGCAAGGCTGTTAGTGGTGTAGTTGCTGGTGGTAAGAAGGTGGTCGGGAAGCCTGCGTCGTCGAGTTCCGACTCGGATTCGAGTGATGAGGGTAATGCTGGATCAGCGAAGAAGCCTGTTGGTGTAGTTGTTAGTGGTGTTAAGACAGGGATGGGAGTTGTCCCACAAGGTGCTGCTGCTCAGTCTGTGCAGAAGAAGAAAGTTGCGGCCGCTCCGTCGAGCTCGGACTCTGATTCTAGTGATGACGAGCAGCCGGCGAGTAAGAAGCCTGCGTTGGTGAAGGCGTCTCCATCTGCGGGCAAGGCTGTTAGTGGTGTAGTTGCTGGTGGTAAGAAGGTGGTCGGGAAGCCTGCGTCGTCGAGTTCCGACTCGGATTCGAGTGATGAGGGTAATGCTGGATCAGCGAAGAAGCCTGTTGGTGTAGTTGTTAGTGGTGTTAAGACAGGGATGGGAGTTGTCCCACAAGGTGCTGCTGCTCAGTCTGTGCAGAAGAAGAAAGTTGCGGCCGCTCCGTCGAGCTCGGACTCTGATTCTAGTGATGACGAGCAGCCGGCGAGTAAGAAGCCTGCGTTGGTGAAGGCGTCTCCATCTGCGTGTAAAGATGTTGGTTGTGTGGTTAGTGGTCTTGAAAACGTTGTGTTTAATTCAACTTTCGCTGATGGTGATGGTCATGTGCGTGGTGATTTGTTGGGTCATTCGTTTAATCGTAAACGCCGTTTCTCGTTTGTTTGTTCCGGTGATTTTAAGAATAGGAGTTCGGTTGTTTCTTCTACTGATAATCTTCGATCTGTAACTAAAACGTCTTTCACTGATTCTAACGGTCCTTTTCGTCGAGTCGATGAAAAGGATGTATTTGTCCATCCCAATCTCCGGGACAATTCGTTTGAGGCGAAGGTAATTTGATTTTTTGCTCCTTTTATGCGTTTTGTCGTTGATTGACTTTTATATTATTTTATAACCGCTTTTAAAATTCGTTCTCATCAATAAACAATATATTATATATTTCTAAATATTGTCGAGAGACAATCCAGTCTTCACCATTAAGCATGATAGATGTTTCTTTGTCTTGATGTTTTTCTCTGCTTTACTCTAAAACTGTTTCTAGTTTTATTATACATATTCGGCATTATTCTCTAATTTCTGTATGAAGCCTTTTTAGTGAACGCATGTCTTTCGAGATACACAGTAATGGAAAATGCGATGATCATTCTTATGATAAAACGGAACTATAAAATTGTACTGTAACATGATTTCAGACCATCAGTTTCTTTAATTTGTTATTATTACATATAGAGATAGCTAATGACTTATAAATAGTTAATAAACTTGTTACCTAGTGATACTGAGAATGAATTAAATTGGATCCTAATTTTTATGTTAGTCATTTACATAGTTGTTATTCAGATGAATGCTAATTAGTTAAGAATTCATTAAATATCTCGAAGTATGAAAGTATGCTTTAATTTCGCTATACCCACTTCCAAATTTTTTCCATCATTACCACATCTCTGTAATCTTGTTGAGTTTCATGTAAAGGGTTTTAAGCCACAATGCCTCAAAAAGGAACGAAGAATGCTTCGAGTTTTTTCAGAGATAAAGTAGATTTCAAACTCATGATTCACTAAAGTTTTTGTAAACAAACCATTTCGTTGCAACCCAACAAACTAGCTCAATGGCTTATGTGCTCAACATTTATCTGTTCTGTCGACCGTTTGTTCGTAGCTTCATCAATTGATGTCTGGCTCAAACCAATATGCAGAATTCTAGTTAGTTACTCAGTTGCAACAACATAAATTGTATGGATAAAAAATTTTCTTCATCACTTTTAAACTACTGCTTTGGATAACGTTTTTGTTTTCGAATCTTTTGTTCAGCGGAATGCACGTGGATCGTGGGGTGAAAAAGCGAATCGCGATTTCAAGTTTACCAGTGGAAAAGCGTTCAAACAAGAGAAAACTAAAAAGAAGAGAGGTTCTTATAGCGGAGGTTCACTTTCCTTAGATTCTTGTTCCTTTAAGTTTAATGAATAAACAGGTTTTTACTCCTGATTTTCTGTAAATATTTTTCCACTTACATGCATTTTGTAAATAAGAAGATAGTTAAAATATTTTCTAATGCTTTGCGATAACTTTGACGTACTGTTTGTTTAAAAAAAGATTTTGTTGCAATTTTTTTGAAATATCGTCATTTCAAATGTTATCGTTCAGTAAATCGTGGCTATTACAAAATGCATTGTCTTGTAGTAGTGACTTGTGAGGAATTGGTCTGTCTAAAATTTAAAAGTCCATCTATCTCAGTATAAGCAAATGGATAAGATCACTTTCCCTTCGATTTATAGTCAACTGCCAATATTTATTTTTATCATTTGTTTCTGTAAATGTGGTTGGATTGATGAAGAAAAGTGTTACTCAGAGATACGTTTAACTGTAAGCTACTTCTGTCGTAGTTTGCTTTGTTGGTTGTATTTCTAATGCTCATTTGTTTTCAATCCTTTATATTTTCTCTCACCGCCGATATAACAGCTTGCAATTTCAACAGGCACTAACGTAAGATCCAACAATAGTTGTGTTTAGTTTTAGTATATGGAGAAGTACTGTCGCGAACTTCATTATCTTTGTCTGTAATTATTTACGTTTAGTTGATCGTTTTTAATGGTTTTTATCTCCACACAACATTGGTAAATATTTAGATGTTCAAACTATTAACAAATAAGTTTATACTTCAGATCGTAATTGAGTATGTAAGAAGATTCACTTTCTGTCTTGCAATACTTAGATGATATAGTTCTGATTAGTGAAGACACTGTCACGATACAAGGTTCACTGATGGCCTTAAACAACAGTACAAGTATGTTTGAGATGTATTTCTCCCTCTAAATGTGAAATTTCGCTCCCGGACCGGTCTACGTTAACACCTGTAGTGGTTGAGTAAGTTGACCATTTCACTAATGATGAAAGTGTCATCAGCCCTGGCTTGCTAGTTTCTGATGACATCTCGATACGGATCAAGAAACTCCGTTCCCATCAATGTGCGTCGCTGGTGACGTAAACGAGGTGTATGTCTGTCAGCCAAATTACGAGTTTACTGCGCAGCAATTCATATTCTACTCTATGAATGTGGAACATGTTAATTTCAGCATAGAATATTTGTAGGTCATTAGAATTTCACCATAGATGTCTTCGAAACACTGCTGGTGTATCTTATTATCACCGAGTGAGTGAATGTGAGGTTAGGTATAGGGTAATAGGTAAAGATGACTAATCAATAGATCAGGTAGTGAATCCTCACCGGGGTGGTTAGGACATATATCTCACATACCCAGCCACAGTCCACCTGGATGGGGAATATACAGTGTAGGAGTAAGCCTAGAGGAAGCTGAACGAGGCCAATTTAAGACAGCATCGATTCATGAAGTTATTAGCTGTTGAACTGAGCCATGTAAGTAGGTATAAATTGCCTGGTTGACGTTCAGTAGTTAAGGACTTGTGGCGACGACTGGAAGTCGTCCACAATGGCGCAGTTCCATTCACTATGCATTTCTTTAGTCCCGAAATGTTATGTATTTCTCTTCACTTAGTCTTTCTACTACTCTAGGATTTATCTTGATCGTTTTTTCTCACTGTGCTAATGTGTGGCGACCTGAATCTGTGTACATGTGGCCGATTTCTATGTTTGTGACTAAATAACATTTACATAACTGTTACAGTTGTGATCTGAATGATTTAAGATGTAATTGTTCTAAATCCATCGAAATACACTTTCGTTCACTGTCTTTAGTTATGTGTAAGAATGATTTAATAAAGTGGTGAAGAGTACTTATTTTTACAGCATGTTCTATGGTCTGACACCAAAATTGTGTGTTTAACTACCGGGTTGTAATAGTAGCAAAGCTCTTTTCACACTTGACCTTCAGTGGTCGTTTGCGATCAAAAATGTATTAGGAATGGGAAGTCTTGTAAACATTCATCTTGATGTGTGATTTCTATTTTCCATCGTTAGATTATTAATCTAAAAAGCCGAGACAAATAAACTAAGTGGAAGTATTTTTGGAATTTATATTTATTCAGCTTTAATCAGTTTTATCTTAGCCTCTTACTACGCTACTTGATTACTTTTCCGGGTTTCTGTAAGAGACCTTCCACCATATAATAATGTAGGAAGCATCACTCCCATGTATCACTATTCACGTTTACACTGTAGAAAGTTAGTCTGCCACACTTATTCTTATATTTCACATATATTTAGCTAATTATCACCATGGAGTTTCATAAATATCCAAATTCTGGAATTCGTTCCATGTATTAATTTATTAGACTTTTCTTCCCGCTGACGAAGTTTGTTTACTTATTTACATAGAAAGTCGTGCATTTGCTTTAAACGCTTTCGCACTCGTTATTCATTACTTTAATCTCAAGATTATCAAAATTGTACTCACTAATAAGTCAGTCCAGGTTGTTTGAAGCACCAAAATTGGCACTTGGTACCAAAAAGTTAAATGATCATCTCGACTCAGGATATAAACGTTTTAGGGATTACTGTATTTATTTGCTCCAGCTATGATTTTTCAATTGTCCCTAGTACTTGAGTTTCATATTGTTGTTCCTCTTTGGTGTTAAAGTCAGCAATAATTGTGAAACACCGACATATTAGGTGTCGTTTCTCTAAGTAGACATATTCTTTTTGTACTATTAATTACAATCTTGTTTACAAATCATCTGCTTACAAGGACATCGATAGCTTAACTTAAAACCTTTCTTATTTTATTACATTCGGATTTTTAAGTATCACGACGACTGGATGCTATTTGTCGTCGAAATATCAACCATACTAATTTTGCGATTTCAGCTTGCATTTTCGGTATTAGGTGTTTCATTTAATGTAACCTTACTAAGGAAATTTAATCAGAAATCGTAACCTAAACATTTTTGGGTTTATTTTGGAAAGTTTTACAAAACTTGTAAGCGGAATAATTCCAGTTGAAACTTCAGAGATGATCAACGTCCGGATAAAGTTTAATAATTGTTTACTACAGGTTGATATTTTGGAGGATCCAAGAGAGGATACCTAGTTGGATATTGTTCCGAGCCTTACATTATTTAGTTGGTTGATCGATCACAATGTTTTCCACGAGTTTTCAACCGGGTGATAAATTATATCCTGGCTTTATGTACTTTTCAGTTAAGTTCAGACAACGTAGTTATCTTCAGTAAAACACCTTGAATTATCTGACAGTCAATTGAGGTGTTGTTAACCGAAGTAGCGATTGCGTGTGTAGTATTTCAACTAACATTTTCCCCTATTTTAAACATCAACTGGAGGTTATGCTTAAGCTTAATCCATTAATAAATATTTAATTCGTGGGAATAGCCATGTGCTATTGAATCAGTTGGATGTATAAACACCACTGTGTTTTAAAAAATATCTTGATACTCATTAAGCTTATTATTCAATCGGTTGTATATTCCAAATGATTCGAATCCAGGCAGTTTATTGATGTCGATCATTATCTCAGCGTAAATAGAAATCGCATATTTGAACTTAAAGCTTAAACAATTTCTGAGTTGTAGTGGATCCTAAATGATTGCATTAGCTTTAGTGCATATCAAGTCTTATTCCTCAAAAATGCCATCAATAATTATCAAATTATGACTTCGGTAGGTTGTTCGTCACAAAACATTAATTTTCTCATTTTGCTTGAAGCAGTCGCTCAAAATGCTCCTAGAATTTCAGTATCTTAAACACTGTTACTATTTCTTAATACGTGCTGTCTTCATTATCAGTATTGATATACTTGTAATACATCTCAATGTTATGTGATAGAGATTAAGACATTATCTAATCCTGATAGTGACTTTATCTCACGTCTTATAATAACACTGGAATATGAGCTGATTTGGATCGGCAAGGAAGCAGAATGGTTTTACTGGTGAAACAGTGAAGATCTTTAATTCATTTTTGTATTGGTTGTTTGAATCTTTCCATTGATGTTTAGGACTGCAATTGACCAGTCTCTTATTGGCATATATGCATCCTGTACGCATTGCCTTAAATCACAAGCATTGTAAACAGTTATGGGTGATGGCTAGTGGTGGAATCCAGGAAGCATGTTTCGTTTCATCTAGGAATTGTCACCTGGATGTAGCTGCATCTCAGTGTTGACGTTCACTCCGGGACTCAAACTCGGTACCATCCGCTTCAAACGCCATAGCGTCATCTACTTGGCTACTGATTGGCGGATTCTACTGCTAGTATCCATCCATCTCTGCTTATAATGCTTTTGATTTAAGGCAATATCGAGACAATCTGCACGGGATGCATATATGCCAATAGGAGACTGATCAATCGCAGTCCTAAACATCAATGGGAAGATTCAAACAACCAATACAAAATGAATTGAAACTTCAACCAATTGCACGAGCCTGTGATTACCACAACTCAGTAGCTAAGTGGATAACACTAAGGCATTCGGAGTGAATGGTACTGTTTTGGAGTCTCGGGGTGAACATTAAATCCGAGATGCAGGTATACCCAGGTGACGAGTCCTAGATGGAACGAACCACGCGTCTTGGATTCCACTTCTAGCCACCATCCATCTATGCTTATAGTGATGATCTTGTTGCTCCTCAATCCATACATAATAAAAAAAGTGGTTCAGATGTGTATTAGTAATGATTTTTGATAGGATACTGAAATATTCCTGGACTTAAAAGTTTGAGGACATTTTAACTTAACTCTCGAGTTAAATGTTACTTGTATATGTTCTTATATTCATCAGCTTTAAAACCTCATCTAATTCTTCGTGAAAATGTTTCTCAAAAAGAATTGCTAAGGGTTCTACTGTGTATGATACATTGGATGTTACAATCAAGTTATCATTGTGTTAAATATTTTTTTGAGAATCTATATGATATGTCTACATTGTTGGAAAAATTTCATAAAGACGTTTCAAAATGTTTTATGGGTTACTTTTCAAAGAACCAGATCGATCATAGTTGTATCACTAAAGAGTCCAGAAGGACAATGGAAGATGTGAGAATCATGAGAGGAGCTGACATAGCTTCAGATCATCACTGCCTGATGATTGCCATGCTGAAACTGAATCTCAAGAAGTACTGGACAACTGGACAATCAGCCCTACAAAGGTTCAATACTGCCTTCCTTCCACATACTAACAAACTCAACGAATTCAAGATATCTCTCAACAACAGGTTTCAAGCCTTACAAGATCTACTGAAGGAAGAAGAAACT